TGATTAAACAGCCTACCTTTACCAAATGTGGGTATCTTAGTAAAACATTCACAAAATTATATACATATATATTTTATACTGCCACTTTTTGATGTATCTATTTTCATCCCAGACATAGCTAGAAATCTAATTAATATAATATAATTAATCTAATTAACAAATATATCAAAGCTACTAAACAAATATATATTTTAATAAAATAGGTAAACTACAATATAGAAACACCCAATACCTTGAGAGCTCTTGGAAAGTTGTCTTGCAAGTACATTCAGATTATCAGATTTATTACACTATAACAAACGTACCAACATAACTATAAAATTCTAAAAGATTAGCCCCACTGAAATCCCATGCCTTAATAAATCATGAGGAATCAATAACACAAATTTCTAAACTTAAAAACATACTCAGTGAAGAAGAAATAAAGTGAGAAATAATGTTATAACATTATCTGTTTCAAATATATTACATTTGTTTGAGATATGAAAATATTTTGAAATCAGTGGAAAGTTACACAGTTAAATAACAGTTTTCGTGAAAAAATACCAAGTTTTGCACATTTATTTAAAAAAAGTATTAAATAAGTATATTAAAAGTTAATTTTATATTACATAAACTTTCATAAAGCTATACCTAGATAACTAAATTAAGTATAGCATTCAGTATTTCCATTAAAATAGGAAACATTAATCCTTAAAAACAAAGTTGATAGCAAACCAAACTGTAAAACTCAAATACTTTGATGACAAACTTTCATGCAAGTTCAAAAATAAAATGTAATTTTAATGAATTAACCCAAAAAACACACTGACCACTAGATGCTAAGGCCTTCAGTCCAGCCTGTATTGACCTATGACGACTTGAGGATCCACTGACCATTCTTAATCGGCCATAATTACCAGAATCTAACCCAGCTAAAGTTTCTTTCATCAAGTCCATTCTATCTGAAGCTGCTACAACAACTACTTGTTTTATCCATGAAAATCTAGAGATCATGAAAAAATTGTGACCATCATTTTGTCAATGCAAATTGAATTACTTCTAAAAAATGGAACCACTAATGCATGTGATTAGTCATAGTTACATATCATCTACATCTAATACTAAATACACCAAAAGGCCATTTATTCTGATCATGTTTCTTACATATCACCATAACTTACAACTATACAAACATGTTCATAGTGTGCAAAAATACAAAGAACTGAGAATTTTGAAAAATTCTTATATTGTTCAATCACTTTTTGCTTTTCCTGGCCCAGTGCAGATAATCGAGGCAACAGTGTATATATATATATATATATATATACTTTCATAGCAATGAGTACATGCTAAAGATCACATGATATCAAACAACAACTTTATAGTACTGCCTTTGGTCCCATCTGAGTCTAAACATGAAAACTGATTGGTTGAATTGAGAGAAAGAATAAAAACAAAATGGCACAAAATTAGTAATGTGTTGTGCATCCGCAGCACTTCATTCCTGAAAAAACATGAAGTGCTGAATCCACCATTAAAATCATAGAAACAAAGTTCAATTTAAGACTTAAAGAATGCAAAAATAGTTCCTGACTTCCAAGAGTCTAGAACTGCCCTAGATTCAAATACTGTTTATCATAGCCCTACACATGAATAAAATTGTAAAAAATACTAGGTTACACAATGAAATTTTTAGTCACCACAGTGACCTGACATCCAGGATTTGTCAAAATCTGGTCTAAACTGCCAAACATAGTAAACTTGTTTCTAGTAAATGAACAACTTTACGATATATTTCTACTTTTGACTTGAATTCATACAGCACAGTACTTTTGAGAATCTTCAGAAAGCTATAGTTATCCAATTTACCATGTCTTCTCAGCACATTCATTTTAATGTTTTTATTTATAATATAAGAAAAAGTTGTCACTTGGTTCTTTCTTCACTGTTACTTGTGAGGAACATTATAGATAGAGATACAATTTGTTTTGATCTTAGAATGGTTGCAGGTTAAGATTATAATCTTGATTATTTCTGTATGGAGTCAGTTGAGAAGTTCTGGAATCTAGAAATATTTGTTTTTGTAACTTTGACGTACCTTAAATGTGCAATAAAAATAAACTGAAATATTGTTTGTTGTTAATCAACATACATTAGCATTCTTTTGAGAGCATATGTGAATTACAAGTTTCATAATTTATTAACAAAAAAGTAAATGAATGAGTAAAAGATTGTGCTTTTTGCTTTGAATCAGCATTTCTTAATCTATGGTTCATGACCCAAAATTAGGTCTTCAGAATGTGTGAAAGGGTCATGAACAACTTTGAAAATTGATAATATTCGAAATTTATTTAATGGGTCGCTACTAGCCATCAACAGTTATAAATGAGTCCTAAGCCAAAAAAGCAGTTGAGACCCACTGTTTTAAATTACCAAACTTTCAAATGTACATAAATTGCAAATAAAATTAACATACAAATTTAATGCTAATCCCAAAAATATTAATGTTACTGAAAATATCATGTTTTTTCCCTTAAATTTTATAAACCTTTTCTATATATGCAAAAAGTCACATTCCAGGATATAATATTAGCAAGTTTAGCAATGATCACATTTTAAATATCTCAAGGTGTCTTGAGACTTTCTTGATAAGTCATTTTTTGATGCATTCTAATAATTATTAAAAGCTTTTATGTGACAATTTCTGAATGTTGATTTGTGTTTGTAAAGATTTTCATAACACACTGATTCATGTATAATTTTGTTTTTGTTACATACTTTGAAGCATACTACAGGTAGGTAGAAAATAAAAATATAAACATGTTGGTTCTCAATGCAAATTAGGATGTGTTTCAGGTCATACAAATTCTACTCCAAGAAGAGAAGAAATATTTAGAAAATCAAGTAAAACAAGCAATGTTACAAATTCATGCCTCACTTACATTCTCACCTCAAAAAAGCTTCCACTGTGTACTGAATTAAAGGTCTTCCTAGTATCTTACAGAACTGTTTTGGTATTGTTACTCCCATTCTTTCACCATTTCCAGCAGCAGGTAAAATCACCCCAACTGACCGATCCACTGGTTTTTCCATTTTGTCAGATAGTTCTGAAAAGCCTAATTTGCATAAAAAAGTCATCAATACTTTATTCCAGCTATATGGGATTACAGAGCTCATATTTCATGTGAAATAAAATATTAAAAATTTAAGTTGACACACATGTACTACTGTACATAGAGCATTGAAGTAAGCACAGACAGTACTTCTAGTTTTTATTTAATTAAATGTACAAGTTTAAACATGAACTATATTGATAAATAGTATTAAAAGCAAGAGTGTATAGTACTTACTGAAAATGTATCCTTATATATACTTTTACAAGATAAATAAAAAAATTTAAAAACCTACAAATAAGGATTGTAATAAATAAGGAAACAAGGCTGAAGATACTGCAGACATAATTTACTCAAACTACAAACCCCTATTTTGGCTCCATGCTGTTACCAAGAGTTTCATTTGGTGGAGTCAAAATAGGGATTTGTAGTTTGAGCAAATAATGTCTACAGCATCTCCAGCCTTGGTTCCTTACATTTTTATGATCCCTATTTGCAGGGTTTTAAATCACCAATTTTTTTATTTATCTTGTTTGCTGACCTTTTTATGCTCAACTATGAGCAAAGGATTATTTGATACGGCAGCTAACTTTATACATTATAATGATAATAAACATAGCTAGTAGCCAGCCGATACAGTTCTTGATCATTTACTGTACCTATTGACTATTTGATCGCATTATTTCAATATGTAAAATGTTAAGCTGCAGCAGGAGATTGTCATGGATATTTGTTTGAGAGTATAGTGAGCATTTCTAGTTTCCATGAAACAAAATTCTATATATATAATGCATAGCAATCAGCAAATATATGCCTAGACTAAGACATAACCCCCACTAAACACAACAAAAAATTACCAGTAGAAAAGCAGCATTTTCAAATAAAAACCTATTGCCTAAAACATTGCTTTAAATAAACTTTGTGTCTTTTAAAGTAATTATTCTACAAATGTGTGTAACAAAATATAATATTATGTGTATTATCATCTTATAATACCCAAGAATTTAATGTCATTAATAAACTTTGCTAACTTATCAAGTTTAGGTAAAAGTTGCTTTGGAGAAAAATGTGAGTGCTGAGTTTACAAGGATGCATTGTAAAAAAAGGCTATAGTTACAGGTTCAATTACCATTCGTATACAAGGCTTGAATATATTTCAACTTTTGGAAAGTGATCAAGAGGGATTACATTATAGTTGACTCTCTCATTAAGTATATTCATAAAGTTACTTTTAGTCAGGAGCATAAAAGAATAGTTCTACAGTAGACTTTGTTTGCAGATGCTAACTTACAAGTTACACAACATTATAAAGTGTAGTGACAAGTTACTGGCTTGTGCCAAAACCATTTTCTTTTTTGTAGCACATGTAGAAACACATGATGTTGGAAGTTTGAAATCAGAAGAGATGAACAAAATAGTGAATTTCTTAAAATATTCAGGAATAAAAATAAATGTGAAGCTCTTTCAGGAATGATCTTTCAAACTAGATCATGGATGCATAAATGAAATATTCAGCAAGATCCAAGTTTAAATGAAAGATTACTAGGGTTATAATTGTGAAGTAACAATTGCTATCTTACTCTTAGTTAGGGTTTTGTTTACTGTTTATATGTAACTCTACAAAATTTCATTAAATTTAAAGATAGTTTAAACTAAACTCACCTCAAATTTCAGTAAATCACCAGTGTGGTGATCATGAAATAAATCTAATACAACGCCTTCGAATTATATTTTCATTCACCTTTATTCATAATTCAATAAGGCTATTCTCAAACAGTTTACCACAGCATCACAATCAATAGCTAAACGTAACAAAAATTTATCAAACGCGAAGGAACATACACCATCCGATCATTTGATACAGTAGTATTCGGTAGTAGTAGTAGTACTGTTTGTGGTTTAAATTTTAAGCACCATCACGGCGTAGTTGAACCTAGTACTAGTAGTACGAGTAAGGCATAATAATTAACATTGTTTATTATTTATAATAACAGGAAAGAGATACAAAATGTTAAATTTCGCTAGAGAGAACAAACAAGTTTTAAAGTTCTGTCAAAATCAAACTATAAATTTACAACAAACCTCTCATAACAGTTAAAACATTATAACTTACTCGAGATCGCTAACTGCTCCATATTATATACCATCGACTATCGTTCTCCCCCTCTGTTCCACTCTTACTAGTCTTAGGACAGCTGAAAAATCGTGTAATACTGTTACGCCCCCTACTTTACTAAACAATAATAATACCAAAGGTGATATGTCTCTTTGGTCAAGAAAAGTATGCGAATAAGCAACGTGCCTTCACAACTTGGAGTTTCTTAAATTTATTTTATAGAACAAAGGACAAGAATGACCATACTAATATGGGTTTATGACCCAGAACCGCATCACTGAGAGACACTCACCCAATCAGGCAGTCGTTCTGTAAGCTTCCATGGGCAAGCTGAACCGGGCAAAGCCAATAGTTAGCGTGCACGGTTGTCAATCTGAGTGTTTTTGTTTTGTGTCCAGTTCCTGCAAAAAACAAAAATCGTGCTATGCACTTTGATTGCGTTATACGAGTGGAAGTCAAATCCAACTATTCAATTTGAGTGATCTAAGAGATATCAGAGGGTATTGTTGAGCAGTTGCCTTCCTTTTAGTGTATCAATTCAAATTTAGTATTGTCTAATACAGATACCATTTGCATAACTGTGCGCAAATACCCGAAACAAGCCAAACCAAACCACTAATATGCTATTATAGAGAAAAGTAGGACGAAGCAGGATCCAAAACCGTAGATTTTCGGCTGGGACAGATGCTTTAGCCAACTTAACTAAAGCGTTTTGAATGCCACATCTTTACATTTTTGTTTCTTTGATTTGTGAGAAAGGAGCAGAATTTGCAATATTCTTCATTTATGAAAATCGGCTTATAAAACTCACAATCATTTAATTCATATTTATTTTGTGAGAAGTATTAAATATAACTTAATTTCCTCATAACTATACTTAAAAATTGTCTTCTTGGTACACATGTACATGCTTTTACTATTGCTTTCTATAATGTCTGAGGGTTGTTTTTTTTTAACATCCTGTTAAGTGTGTGGTCTATCCAAGTAAAACTGGATTGTCTTTAGAGCTATGTCGGATAGTTCCGCTTGATTATAGGAATTTCAATCACAATATCGATTATGAGTTAATATAGATCTTTTATTAACAACTAAGTCGATGTAATGAAGTAATAAGACTTAACACAATGTGAAGTATAAAAATGCACAATCCTAATTACACTAAATACAAATGTAGTACGTATATCTGTTTTAGAATACGACTGACTATTACTTTTTCTTGATACTCTCGGTGACTTACTCTTCAGTATCCTATTCCAGACTGTTAAAGAGCAACGTTTTTTAGTTCGTAAGAAACCTTGCATTTACCCACCCGATAGTCATTCTCACTACAAAGTTGTATTCAGTCGTTATATTCTATTTATCATTAAAATACGCCAAACCAAGAAAAAAAGTCTCAATGCATTGAGGACGAAACTGCAGGAAAACGTACTATATTTTCGTCTTCTCATATCATGTTGGCAAAACTATGAAAATATCTTTGTTGTCAAACATATATTTGATAACAACTGTCTGCTATCTTTGAATTTTGTATTTTTTTACTGTGAACTGAGTAGATTCGTCAACACCCATTTTGTAAACAATGATATCGAAAATCGACGCCAAATATTGTGATTCCGCAGAATCTACAGTTCTATGGTTTCATTGGTAATCGGTTACAGAGGGAGTCCTAGTTTGTACAGACTTTGCATTCCGAACATTGATTGGGCTTTTCCGTAGCACCTATTAATTAAAATGCCAGAGCGATATTTCTGGTGACTGGCCTCAGTGCCCTATTCGTCTTCGGTGGTAATAAGGTCAATTCTCCCACAGTGCGTTTGTCACCCACGTCTCTTGGTCATCCCATGAGTTAAAATAGTGAACTCATATCTTTCAGATATCCATAAACCTTTACACAAGTTACAGGAATCCTTCAGCAACAGCAAAAATAGTACATACCTTGATTACGTGTAACAAGCACAAGAATAATATCACCTACTTCCAAAGTCGGTCCAGCATTTTCGTTGTTCATCAACATGCATCAAACTCGTGAAAGATCCCAAGTGGTTCAGTGTTAGGTCTTAAGGCATATAATGCTAAAAACCGTGATTTGATACTTGTGGTAGGCACAATACTGATAGCCCAGTGTGTAGCTTTGTGTTTAACAAATCACACACACACACCAAAAACATGCAAGATATTTCACAATTTTTCTGATGAGAAATGCGAAACGTTCATTTTTATTAACTAAAAGGAAAAGAGAAGTAAATGTAGTCTGCTGCATATAACATAAAAAAAGACTAAGATTAGCGGTATTTAAAAAGTTATAACTTGATTCGTTCGTTTA